GCATTAAATATAATGAGTTTTGGATTGATTTTGAGCATTTGGTGTTATACTTGTGTATAGGATCTAAGTTTAGATCATCCAGCTATTTTGTGTGGTACTTTGTAGAATGATAATTTAAAAATATTTTATAGTTAACATAAAATAAAATCCACAATCACTTAAGAGAATGATAAATCACCAGTAATCTTGCTATTCATTTCTTTGCACCATCACTATGTGAAGATGCTCTTAGTGAGTTTATATTGTATTATTTTATCTTCTCTTTCATTTAAGAGTACAGTATAGGGAAGTCTGGCTGGCTCAGTTGGTAGACTATGCGACTCTTGATCTCAAGGTTGTGAGTTCAAGCCCCACATTGGGCATAGAAACAACTTAAAAAACAAATTAATATATAAAAAGTTTTAAAATCGATCACATCATAAGTCATTTTCCTCCTGTATACAGTATAGGCTTGATGAAAGACTGAAAGTAAGAAACATAAATGTCTAAGTAGATGCTGATGTGACTCCATTCTCATTATGATTAGTTAGATTCTAAAGAAGATTTTTGGTTGAGTTTGACATAGGAGAGAAATGCATAGGTTTTATAGCTTGCTGGGGAGGAGTTTTTTCCAACTTAGAGAAGCAAAGGAACAAGGTCTAAGTACTTGGGAAATTGGAGCAAGATGGAACTAGAGATTTTAAGTAGAAAGAATGATCCTTTTTCTGTGAAGTTGAAGGAAATCAAATGTGTGTTCAGATAAAAATTTTGGTGGCCTGAGAATTTACTGCAAGTGCTTTTAGTAATTCTCTATAATCCCTGTTACTTTAATCTTTACTATATAATAATAATCCATCTGTATTTGGAATAAATAATTTTCTCTTTTAGCTTAAAAAATTTTTTTACAGAAGATTTTATTTATTTATTCATGAGAGACACAGAGAGAGGCAGAGACACAGGCAGAGGGAGGAGAAGCACATGCAGGAACCTGATGCGGGACTCGATCCCAAAACTCTGGATCATGTCCTGAGCCAAAGGCAGACGCTCAACCACGGAGCCACCCAGGCATCCCGCTTAAAAATTTTTTTAAAGGAAAAATTCAAACATACATGAAAGTAGAAAGAATGGTGTAATCAACTTCCATGAACCCATCATTTACCTTCAATAGTTATTCTGATAGCTTTTTTTTTATTTTAATTATTTTTTTTTAATTTTTATTTATTTATGATAGTCACAGAGAGAGAGGCAGAGACACAGGAAGAGGGAGAAGCAGGCTCCATGCACCAGGAGCCCGACGTGGGATTCGATCCTGGAGCCCGACGTGGGATTCGATCCTGGGTCTCCAGGATCGCGCCCTGGGCCAAAGGCAGGCGCCAAACCACTGCGCCACCCAGGGATCCCTATTCTGATAGCTTTTTAATAATTTTTCTTTTTAATTAGCTTTTTAATGATTTAACAAATCTAACCCTTTAATCTGTGTTTATTTTTATTTATTTTTTATTTTTTATTTATTTTTTTTTATAAGGTAATGCTTGTTTTTTTTTTTTTTTTTAAATTTATTTATGATATTCACACACACAGAGAGAGAGAGAGAGACAGAGACATAGGCAGAGGGAGAAGCAGGCTCCATGCACCGGGAGCCCGATATGGGATTCGATCCTGGGTCTCCAGGATCGCGCCCTGAGCCAAAGGCAGGCGCCAAACCGCTGCGCCACCCAGGGATCCCTATTTTTATTTTTAAAAAGATTTTATTTATTTTGAGAGAAAGAGAGTGCATGCAAACAGGGGGAGGGCAGAGGGAGAGAGAGAATCTCAGGCCGACCCCACACTGAGTACAGAGCCTCATTATGGGACTGATCTCACAACCCAAGACCATAAACTGAGCCGAAATCAAGAATCAGACACTTAACTGACTGAGCAACCCAGACACCCCAATCTGTGTTTATTTTGCAAGAGTTAGATAAATGAATACTGTTTATTAAAGTGAATTATTATTTCCCACATTATGAAATATAGCGGCACCTGGGTGCCTTAGTCAGTTAAACATCTGCCTTCAGCTCAAGTTGTGATCCCAAGGTCCTGGGTATGAGTCCCGTGTTGGGCTCCCTGCTCAGTGGGGAGCCTGCATCTCTTCCCTCTGCCCCTCCCCTCTGCTCATACTCTCTCTAAATAAATAAAGTCTTAAAAAAACATTATGAAGTGTGTAGTCTACTAACCTATAGTTTTATTTAAGTCAGTATAACATAATTTTAATAGCTTTTAAACTCAAATAACTCTAACACAAATATTTTAATAATTTAAAAAATTGAGTTTTACTTAAAATTTTATATTTCTATTTAAATATGTTCCTGTATCTTTAGATAGAATGGATATTCTTGGATATTATCTTCCGTTTCAAAATGAAGATAATGTCTCTTCTAATAAGTCAATTTTTATTGATAAGTTTATTTTAAAGACAAACCTAAATATTCACATATGATTCATTTATTCAGTAAACAGTAATACTCAGTTTACTATTTACTAGTATACTAATACCACATTTGAATAAATCAATATAAAAAATTTGACCACAAAGTATTTCATTGTCAGTCTGTTTTTAATATTGTGTTTAGTTCTACTTCCACACTCACTTTTTAACTTACTAATTAATTTATTGATGTATGGTTGATATACCGTGTTTCCGGTTTACAGCATAGTAATTGGACAACTCTATGCATTATGCTGTGTCCACTACAAGTATACCTATGATTTGTCACCATACAACACTGTTACAGTACCATTGGTTATATTCCCTATGCTGCATCTTTCATCTTGGTGACTTATTCATTCTATAACTGAAGCCTGTACCTTCACCCATTTCACCTTCCCCCTACCCCCCTTAGCAACCATCAGTTTGTTATCTGTATGTATGGGTTTTTTTTTTCCTGCTTTGTTCATTTGTTCTTTTGTTTTTAGATTTCACATATAAGTGAAATCATGTGGAATTTGCCTTTTCTCTGACTTATTTCACTTAGCATAATATCCTCTAATGTTGCAAATGACAAGATCTTATCCTTTGCTATGGCTGAGTAATATTCCATTATATATTTATAACACATCTTCTTAATCCATTCATCAGTGGACAGACACTTGGGTTGCTCAGATATCTGGCTGTTATAAATAATGCTAAAATAAATATAGAGATGTATACATCTTTTCAAACTGGTTTCCTTGATATTCTTTGGGTAAATAACTCAGTAGTGGAACTATTGGATCATATAGTACTTTAAGTTTTAAAAAATTTTTTCAAGGAATCTTCATACTGTTTTCTCCAGTGGCTACACCAATTTATATTCCCACCAACAGTGCACAAGGATTCCCTTTTTTCCACATCCTCATCAGCACGTTGTATTTCTTGTTGTTTTGATTCTAGCCATTCTAACAAGTGTGAGGTAAAGTTTCATGGTGGCTTTGATTTGCATTTTCCTGATGATTAGTGATGTTGAGCATCTTTTCATATGTTTGTTGACCATCTGAATGTCTTCTTTGGAAAAATGTTCAGATTCTCTCCCCATTTTTAAATTGGATTGTTTGAGTTTGGGGGGGTATTGAGTTGATCTTGGATATTAACTCCTTATTAGATCCATCATTTGCGGATATCTTTTCCCATTCAGTAGACTGCCTTTTTGTTAGGTTGGTGGTTTCCTTTATTGTGAAAAATCTTTTTAGTTTGATGTAGTCCCAGTAGTTTATTTTTGCTTTGTTTCCCTTGCTGGAGGAAACATTTCTAGGAAAATGTTGCTAAGGCCAGTGTTAAAGAAGTTGCTGCCTATTTGGGAGTAATTTGAATTTTATGGTTTCAGGTCTCACATTTAGGTCTTTAAACCATTTTGATTTATTTTTGTTTATGGCATAAGAATGTGGTCCAGTTTCATTCTTTTCTCCAGCATCACTTATTGAAGAGATTGTCCTTTTTCCCCATTGGTATATATTCTTGCCTCTTTTTTTTTTTTTTTTTAGATCGACTAGGTAAGTGTGAGTTTATCTCTGGGTTGTCTGTTCTGTTCCATTGATGGATATCTTTGTTTTTAAGCCAGAACCATACTGTTTTGATTACTACAGCTTTGTAGTATATCTTGAAATCTGAGATTGTGATGCCTCCAGCTTCATTCTTTCTCAAGGTTGCTTTGGCTATTTGGAGTCTTTTGTGATTACATATAGACTTTAGGGTTATTTGTTCTAGTTCTGTACTACACATTTTTAAATTTAGAAATAATTGGGTTATGTCATTTTAAAAACTATATAAATGACTGAGTAAAATATTCTGGGACATTTCATATATGTCTTGCATCACTCTGGACCTGTGTCTTTAGGAAGAAATGAAAACCTGTGATGTGTAAGATAATTATAAATATGGATAGAATATCTTTAGGTGGCTCTTATAATGACTAGTTCATACATCATTCAGAAGTACAAAGAGATTTTAGAGACATTTTATCCATCACTTCCTTTCCAGTTGTACAGAAGAGTAAGACAAGACCCTAAATAAATGCAGTCAGTGAGTATACGATAGTAGTTTTTGTACTTAAGGTCTTAGTTTCTGTAGACCTACTTACACCATTGAGACCTATTGCATTTTTTTTTAAAAACTTATTTATTTATTCATGAGAGACAGAGAGAGAGAGAGAGAGAGAGAGAGAGAGGCAGAGACACAGGCAGAGGGAGAAGCAGGCTCCATACAGGGAGCCTGATGTGGGACTTGATCCCGGGTCTCCAGGATCAGGACCTGGGCTAAAGGCGGCCCTAAATCGCTGAGCCACCCAGACTGCCCCCTATTGCATTTTTAGCTGGTTTACTTACTAAGTGAAAAATAGGTTAAAATAACAGTTTGGTGAATTATATACTGATTACTTACAGCCTGATGATTCTGTAAACAAAAATTTTTCCTTCTTCTCCCAGTATATGTTTGTTTTTCAAAATAGAAGTGTTTTGGTGGTGCAGTATTCATAAATCTGTATTTGTTTTTGTCTCTCTCGTTACAGGTTCATGTCAGGGCTGGCCTTTTTCATGGTACTGAACTCCTCTGTAAAACCATCGTAAGCTCAGAGATATCAGGGAAAAATGATCACATTTGGAATGAACCACTGGAATTTGATATAAATACTTGTGACCTGCCACGAATGGCTCGATTATGTTTTGCTGTTTATGCAGTTTTGGATAAAGTGAAAACAAAAAAGTCAACTAAAAATATTAATCCCTGTAAATATCAGACCATCCGGAAATCTGGGAAAGTGGTAATTATACGCTACAATGGAATAATTTTAAAACTCTTTGAAATAACTGAGTAACATAAGTTCAATAATAGCATAAAACTTTGTGTCTGTGAAGTGATTTTAAAGACAATAAATCTCCATTTTATGTCTTGTTCATTTATTTCTCTTTTAGCAAACTTGTTTTAGCAAATGTCTTTACATGTTCCAGTGTAAATAAAATACTTTTTAGAAGATAGAGATAAAAAAAGAATGAAAAGATTAAAAAAATTATATGTTCATAGTCCCTTAACTGAAATTCTATGTGCCACAGATGCTTGAACATTCAGAATTTTGTGAATTTTAGAAGATCATACAACATACTTCACACCTGTGGGACCTGGGGTACAAATCTGTAATCAAACACATCAGTATCTAGTGGTGAAATATATGAATATTCACACTAAATGAGACAAATGCAGAATATCAGTTAACTTTATGGCATTTCCGGCCATGTTTTGCTGTCAAGTGAATTATGAACAAACTTTTAGTTTTAATTTCTTAGATTTCAAAATTGTGGGAAAAGGATGGTGTATCTGTTCTCATATTCTCATCTTTCATTTTATATTTTTAGTCAAATTTTTTCATTTTCTTTTAAGTTTGTGAAAAATTGGTTTGGAGGGATGGGGACATGAATTACATATATATATTTTAAAAGCTGGTTACTGTATTTATGTACATGAATATGTATCCTTTATTCATTAATGTAAGAATTAAGAAAGCTTTTCCTCTGCTTATTATCATACAGTTTTTTAAAAATAAAGTTTAGGGTGTAAAAGTCACAGAAGAGGTATTTTCTTAGTGTTTTTTCTTACGCTGATAATTTTACGCAAAGCATTTGACTTTTCTTTTCTTTTCTTTTTGCATTCAACTATTTTATAGGGTTTTTTGATATACCATGACCAAGTTATTTGGTCTAGGTGTCTATGTAAATTGGTCTAAGTATCTATGCTTCCTTCTAAGAAATAGAAATAAATTCTACAATACCTGCAGACATTGCCTTCTCCTACATTAAAGTTAACTAAGGCTTTAAGCTCTTAAAAGAGATACCCTGATGTTATATCACACATATTTTCTTGAATCATTAAAATTTTTTCATCATTTGTGGTATTAAGCAATAAATAATGTTTTTTTGGATACACTATTTCATCACGAATTGGCTTTCAAAGTTTTCTTGAACCATTGTAAAGATTTTGAACATTTTTCCATGTACATCTTGTTTTATTTTGGGTGATCTTTTGGAAGTCATCTGAACTCTAGAAATTTCTAGATTTAAATTTTGAAACAAAGGGGTATGTACATGTTTACATGGTAAAGTTCTTTTTCAGCATATTTATGCAGTGGTATCTTTTTCAACAGCATTATCCTGTGGCATGGGTAAATACGATGGTTTTTGACTTTAAAGGACAGTTGAGATCTGGAGACATAATATTGCACAGCTGGTCTTCATTTCCTGGTAAGACTTATATCCTAATCCTTAAAGAGTAACTATTGGCATGTGGACTAGTAATGTTTCTTTATGACTCACTATTTGTTTAGTAAAGAAACCATCATTTTGTATCTTTATTACTTATTTTAAAATGGTTTCCCACAGATTATTTTAATATATTTAAAAAGTGATTTGTATCTGAGTATATTTGTTATCTTGATGAATGTGTTCTTGCTTTAAATGGTTTATTTTTTATAGATTTTGGAGAAATTCTCCTAAGAGAATTTTTTTTTTAATTTTTTTTTTTAATTTATTTATGATAGTCACAGAGAGAGAGAGAGAGAGGCAGAGACACAGGCAGAGGGAGAAGCAGGCTCCATGCACCGGGAGCCCGATGTGCGATTTGATCCCGGGTCTCCAGGATCGCGCCCTGGGCCAAAGGCAGGCGCCAAATTGCTGCGCCACCCAGGGATCCCTCTCCTAAGAGAATTTTATAGATTTTGGAGAATTCTCCTAAAAGAATAATGTCTTGTTTATAACAACCTTTGTTACTCCTAATTGTACTAAATGTCTACACTAGTAGAAGGAACATTCACTAATATGGAAGAATTAGTAAAAACATAGTAAATGTTTCATTGGATTTAACCTGAAATTTGAGCTAAGCGGAGCACCTTCTATATGATATATTTCTGTAATATTATTCAAACACCCAAACAAGGTAGATCGTTTTATTTCCCTTTTACGTATGAGAAAAGTGAACCTTAGAGATAAGTTAGTCAGTCTTACGTAATTGGTTCAAAACTAAGATTTGTACAAAAGACTGCTTGATTCTTTCCATTATTTCATACTAGTTTTCCCAGATATTGGAAATTTTTAGTGTAAACTTTGTATATAATAGTGGTTTTCTTTTTTTTCCTGCCTTCATAGTTTGTTAATATATTTAATAAAATTGTGAACTTCTTGCATTTAAATTTATTTTGTGACAAACACTTGAAAAATATTCATTTATTAGTAGTTGACATCTGAGAAATTGGTTTTGGATAATTCTTCACAAACATATTTAAAACTCATGTTCTAATATTTTATGTATGTATACTTCATTTTCTACCTTTCTTCCATATACCTGCAGTAGTTTTTACCAATCATGTTTTTCCCAATATAGGAGAGTAGTGTACATTTATATATACATTCTTAAAGAAATTATGAGCTTTATAGTTGCATGCATTTCAGCAGTTACACTTTTTTGAAAGTCTTAATTTAGACTCACACATGTTCTCCAGAATCACCAAGCAACTTGACTGGTATTTTTAGCAAAATTGACAATTTGGGGCAGTATTAACTTGGCATACCATGAGCCTGACTTCATCTCTAACAAGATGTAATGTGAAAAATAATAAAAGAACACATTTGCTCTATATGTATCAGCTGTAGAATTGTCACTTTATCCCAGTAGGAGTGAAGCTGAAACAAAGGAACTACAAATAATCTATTGTAGAGTCCTCATTAAGTGGTATGTAATTATATTACTGATTGCTTTTGTATCTTTCCAGATTTCTTCATGTATACACTAGGAAATACAAATGTAGATTTCTATTTTTCTTCCTATTTTTAAACAAAATAGCAAAAATGCATTTTGCCCTTTTAACCTTATGTATCTATATTGAGTGCTGCTGTTCTTAATGTGGTCTTATCTTTTAATAATTTAAGCAGTGTTACAATGAATAATAATCTTGCTTATATGCAGGTATATGTCTAACATAAATTCCTAGAGGTGGGTTTATTGAGTTAAAGAATAAATACATTTGTTATTGTACACCTGAAACTGATATAACACTATGTTAACTAACTGGAATTAAAAACTTAAAAAAATTAAAAGCTTGGAATTTTAAAATTAAAAAAAGAAATACATTTGTAATTTTGATAATCACAAATTTCCCTCCAGTTGAGGTTTTACCAATTTGTACTCTCTATTTATAATAGAATAGAATACATTTTGTAATCACTTTTAAGCAAGGTTACCTCTCTGTGTTTGGGGCTGATAATAATTCTAAAATGTTACATTTTACTTTAGATAGATGGCATATGATAGGATAAAGGAGTATAATGCTACCAGATATCATAGTATAGAATTTAATTTTGCCGAGATATCTGCTTTAGGGGTGTATAAATGAGAATTTCTTCCTTCTAGGTGACAATAGAATCTGTGAAATTAGGGAGTATTAAAGAACTGGAGCAAAGAATTGATTACGGAACTGAAATTTGCAAATACTTTTGTAAAGATTTTGTACCAGATGGCCTGGGTGGCTCAGATGGTTAGGTATCTGCCTTCAGCTCAGGTCATGATCTCCAGGTCCTGGGATAGAACCCCTCCAGTGTAGGGCTCTCTGCTCAGCAGGGAGTCTGCTTCTTCTCCCTGTTTCTCAAATGAATAAATAAAATCAATTTCTAAAAAGGCTTTTTTTTTTTTTTAGCATTGGTAAGTAATTTGAGTATGCATAATATCTGGACATTAGGCCTGGACACAATGGATTTTTATCTTTTATTTCCTTAGGAGAGAACAAATGTACTAAAAATCAGTATATGGAAAGAGATAATAGTTTGGCGAGGAGAGTCTTTAGACTGCACTGCTAATTCTGTTCTCTTGAGTTTACAGTGTCTTTAACAGTTAATTTATCTGTGAAGTGAAAAAGTTTTATGAGAACATTGAAATCTAAAATTCTCATGCACAATTCTGTGAATAGACCATGTTTAGGTGAGCGAGCAGAGGAAGGAATGCCTTAAAGAAATAAGCAGTTTATTTGGTTAAAGGAGTACCACTTGAATGGAGTGTTCCAGAAACTACCAGAGAGCTCTTTAACTATATCAACAGTTATGGGATAATTGAAGAAGATAAACAACATTAGATTTGTCCAAAAAATATCACTGATGACTCTCAAGCTATCTGTTTGGGTGCTGTGATGACCATGGAAAGTAATAAATTCATATATGTTGTGAAGTAATAAAAATTCTGTGGGTCACCTGATTTTGATGGAGAGCAATTCCAGTTAAGTTTTTTTTATTTCATGATTGAGAATAATTATCAAATTTGAAGAAGGAGGTGGGGTAGGTATTAATTTTTGCAAACTTTCTTATTTTAGAGGTGTATGTAAACTCACATTCAACTCTTGTGTCAAGTATTAACAGTAAATAAGAGGCTTACTGATAACAGTTGTCTGCCAAATCCCTTAAGGTGACATACTTTTTTTTAAATTTATTTATTTGAGGGAGACAGGGAGTAGTATGAGAGAGAGAGAGAGAGAGCGAGCAAGCAAACGTGCACCCGCACTACACATACACACACATAGGCACACACAAGCAGCAAGGAGGGGCAGAGTGAGAAGCAAACTCCCTGCTGAGCAAGAAGCCCTATATAGGGCTCTATTCCAGGACCCTGGGATCTTGACCTGATCCAAAGCCTTAACATACTGAGCCACCCTGGTGCCCCTTAGGTGACATACTTTTAAAATTTTTTCTATTAAGGATTTAGTTTAGTTTAGTTTCAAAAATATTTTTTAATAAAATTATTTGCACATTTTAGATGAACTTGAAGAAATGTTGAATCCAATGGGAACTGTTCAAACAAATCCATATACTGAAAATGCAACAGCTTTGCATATCAAATTCCCAGAGAATAAAAAACAACCTTATTATTATCCTCCCTTTGATAAGGTAAGCCAAATATTTAAAGGGCCACTATGCATGGAAATCATCGAATCATTCTTGGCTCTGCATGTTTATAGTTTAATCTTTACATGTTTGTTTCTCTTTCAAATGTCACATACATTGCCAGCTTGATTCAGTGGAAAGAGCATGGAGCCAACTAACTCATATTTAGTCTTGGCTTTATCACTGACCAGGTGAGACATAATATCTCTGGAGATCAGGTTTCTCATTTATAAAATGAGGAAATCATAATTGTTCTCTGAGGTTCTTTTTTTTAAAAAAATATTTTATTTATTCATGAGAGACACAGAGAGAGGCAAAGAGATAGAGGGAGAAGCAGGCTCCCTACAAGGAGCCAAATATGGGAATTGATCCAGGTACTCCAGGATCACACCCTGGGCTGAAGGCTGGCACTAAACTGCTGAGCCACCCAGGTGTCCCTCTGAGGTTCTTTTCAATTTAAAATGGCTATAAATGCATTCATATGTAAGTCTGAGCATGTCAAATATACATTCAAACTTGCCCAGCATGTTCAGGGATTAATGATGTAGCCACTGCTGTGGTATTCAAAGAACAGATGATTTATGTTGAATGTTACTATTAATAAGATTTCTTAAGGTACTGTTATTTATGTAGAATCTATAGCAAGGACTTACATTTCTAAACACATTTCCTTACAAACTTCTTGAGTATCAGAAGGTTATGGGGGAGGGTTGAAAATGGGGCTATCCTCATTTACATTCTGGGAGGTAGGCTGTCATATGTTCTATCTTCAGGCTTGGCATCTTTGTTTCAGATATGATTGATGCTGATTTTTATGAGAAAATCTTGGAGCAAATTCTCAATAGCAAGTCTATTTTATTTCTCTAATCTATGTGAGAATAATCTTCCTTTAAAAATTGATATTATACTAATTAATATTCAAATTAATCCACTTTTAAGCTTAATTGTATTTTAAAGTTCAGCACTTTCAGACCTGTATAGTATAGATTTTTAAAATAGTGTGTAAATTAAATTTATGTTACCTAATGTTTCTTCTTTACTTATTTTAATTGAGTTTTATCCACATAAAAAATAACTTTTCACTTGAAATTCTTCTGAAATGACTTTCTGATCAGTAATATATAGCCAAATTAAATTTATGGTTAGTAGTAGAAATCCCAAATATGCCAAGAACCATATTGTACATTGTAGTAGAATAAGGTACATTTTGACTCATCCATTGCATTCATGTTATGGCTTTATTCCTTAGAATAGCAATTTAACCAGAAGGCATAGCTGCTTATGATACACTTTATACTCCAAGCTATGACTGTTTTTGTGTTCATTTATAGTATGTATTCAACAATCAGTTATAGTTTCTTTTGGATCAAATGGGGTGCTTTTTGAAGCATTTTTATAAATAGAATATCCTATGCAAATACAAGAGTTTTTGTCTAATATTTCAAGGGAAATCCAGCTTCTTTAAAATGTCTTATTTCAGCATTGCGTAAGTCACTAAACTTTCCTTTTGCCTTTGTAATTTCTTAAAGTCCGTCTTTGAACATAAACTTGAGTTAGAGGGTTTTGTCTTTAAATATGTATAAATATATTTGTACTTATTGGGGTTTTTGAAATTGTATAATTTACATGTGATTATTTTAAAAAATCAATACATATAAAAAAGGTGAAAGTTCCCATATTCTTTTTATTTAATGTAATTATTTTTGTTGTGAGCACTTGTATACATTTTGCTTTTCAAGTCAATTTTATGGTTATTGATTTTAATAACTATAATCTCCTTTTGTCATAACAACCGTATGAAATAGGATAAGAGTTATCACTACACTTTACATATGAGGATATGGTCAAATTATTCATTTAGAATTATAGAAGCCAGTAAATGGATATAAATCTTCAGATTCTTTAACACTGATTTTCCCATATTTTCAAGAATCAGAGCCCCTCTTGAAATTAATGAATTCAAAAGATATTTTTAGGCTGTCTTTGATACTCTACTTTTGTTAATTCAGTAAAAAAACAATTACAAAAGACAAAAACTTAATTATTTAGTAACTCTTACATGCCTTTGCATTTTCTTTATCAGAAAATATTTACCTATATTTAAGATTCTTTCACATACCAAAAAAATTCTTTCACATACATATTCAAGTCTTTGCATTTTTTTAATCTATGGACAATGCTGATGCACCCTATACACCCTAGGAGTCACAGTCCCTTATAATACCATTGACTCTCAATTATCAAGAGTTTGAAGATTGGGAATCCCCACTTGAGACCATTTTGCATTTAGAGTTCATGTTTACATTATAAAGCATGCCAGACCTCATGTTGTTTCTTGTAGTCTAAGTACAATTGTAATCATTTACAATTAAAATTTTACAAATACAAGCACCAAAATTTAATTTAAAAAGTTTTTTTTTTAAACAGATAATCGAGAAGGCAGCTGAGATTGCAAGCAGTGACAGCGCTAATGTATCAGTAAGTATCAAGGTTTTAAAATGATCCTTTCTTATTATAACATGGTCCTTACTACTTACTTGCATCTCATTTATGCTAATGACTTACAGATGACCATACTCTTATGCAAGAATAGTCTGAGAGTTTATGTGAATAAGTACATACAAATGTTTTGTTGAATGGCAGGAGTTTATAGGTGGTCTATGTTCAGTGGTAAACCCTTTTCTGATATAAACACAGGTTCAGCAGCTAGTCTTTTTTTTTTTTTTAATTTGATTAATTTATATTTTAAAGTAGGCTTCACATCCAACTTGGCCCTTAAACTCACAAACTGTAAGATCAAGAGTTGCATGTACTACTTACGGAACCACCCAGGTGCCCCCATCAGCAGTCCTTAAGAGATGCTATGACACTTCATAGATTAACTGTACTATCTTTGTGAATGTTATTCAGTTGATTGAAGAGGCTGTAATTTTTTACACATAACAGGAGATATAATCAGGCCAGGATCTACAGCTCTGGGGAACAAGGTTTTTTCCATTTTGGTGGTCTGTTATGTTAACATATAGTTTCTGTCTCATGGTTTAATTTAGTGCTTCAGCTTCTCATATTATTATGGTCCAGCCAGCAGGAATAGGTAAAAGGAAAAGCAGGAGTAGAGGCCATACCTATTTTTGAGGATATCATTAATATACCTCATTGCTGCTCACATCTTATTTGCCAGGCCTTACTCACATGGCCATACTTAACCACAAGTGAGGCTTGCGAAAGGTAGTCTTTAGTTTGCCAGGCAGGTACTTGGCTAAGAAAAAGAGATTCTAGTTAATAAAGGAAGAGCACAAAGAATACTGAGGGACAAACAGCAGTCTCTGCCATATATGCTATGCCGATTGTTTCTACCCAAAGACTACAAAATAGATTACTTTGTTTAGTTTACAATATATGTAGATTTCTACCACCTATACTTTTTAGCTTAATTTTTTGACTCTTAAACAGTTTAAGACTTTGCTGAGTCTAATCTGATATTCCTTTTTCATGTTACCTGTTTACATTTTTATTTATTTATTTATTTTTGTTTACAGTTTTTAATGTGTCTTCAGTATAAAGCCATTCTACATAAAATGGCAATTATATAGAGGCTAGGAGGCAAAATGGAGATAATGTATGTTTTTGTCATTTACATAGAATCAAAGCAGTATTTTATGATGGCTAGTTGGAGAAATGTCTGGCCCAGGGTGTCTTCTGCTTTGCCCTTGGAATTCTCAAAAATATCCATAGCCCTGCAGTGCAGGTCATCTACTACTATAAATACTTTGAGCACTTCTCTTTAGAGAAACAAAAGAAGTTAATTACAAGTATACACTTAACAGTTTGTTAATTATAGGCACACCTTGAAGATAGTGTAAGTTCTGTTCCAGACCACTGCAATAAAGAGAGTATCATGATAAAGTTAGTTGTGAATTTTTTGGTTTTCCAGTGCGTATAAAAGATTTATTACACTATACTGTTGTCTGTCAAATGTGCAATAGCGTTATGCCTAAAAAACAAGTACCTTAAAGTAAAAACACTATTTTGTTTAAAAGAAAAATGCTAACCATTATCTGATCTTTCAGCAGTTGTAATCTTTTTGCTGGTAGAAGTTCTTGCCTTGATGTTGATGGCTTTTGACGGATCAGGGTTGGGTTGCTGAAGGTTGTTGGGGTGGCAATGGCAGTTCTTAAAATAGTACAATAAAGTGTGCTGTATTAGTTGACTCTTCATCCTTTTATGAATGATTTCTGTGCAGCAACAATCTGTTTGGTAGCATTTTACCCACAGTAGAACTTCTTTCAACTTTCAAAATTAGAGTCACCGGCAGCCCTGGTGGCTCAGCGGTTTAGCGCCACCTTCAGGCCAGGGTGTGATCCTGGAGACCCAGGATCGAGTTCTACCTCAGGCTCCCTGCATGGAAGCCTGCTTCTGCTTCTCTCCGTGTCTCTGCCTCTCTCTCTGTCTCTCATGAACAAATAAATAAAATCTAAAAAAAAAAAGAAGAAAAAAAGAAAAATTAGAGTCAGTCCTCTCAAACCCTGCTGCTGCTTTATCAACTAACTTTATGTAATATTCTAAATCCTTTGTTGTCATTTTTAAGTCTTCACAGCATCTTCATTACTGGTACGTTCCATCCCAAGAAACCACTTTCTTTTTTTTTTATTTTTTATTTATTTATTTATGATAGTCATACAGTGAGAGAGAGAGAGAGAGAGAGAGAGAGAGAGACAGGCAGAGACACAGGCAGAGGGAGAAGCAGGCTCCATGCACCGGGAGCCCGACGTGGGACTCGATCCCGGGTCTCCAGGATCGCGCCCTGGGCCAAAGGCAGGCGCCAAACCACTGCGCCACCCAGGGATCCCAAGAAACCACTTTCTTTGTTCATCCATAAGAAGCAAATCCTCATCTGTTCAAGGTTTATCATGAGATTTCAACAATTCAGTCATATCTTCAGGCTTCACTTCTAATCCTAGTTATTTTGCTATTTTTACCATACCTGCAGTTATTTCCTCCACTGAAGTCTTGAACCACTCAAAGTCATCTGTGAGGGTTGGAATCCTCTCCTTCCAAACTACTTGTTAATGTTAATAGTTTGACTTCTTCCATGAATCATGAATGTTCTTAATGGCATCTAGAATGGTGAATCTTTTCCAGAAGGTTTTCAGTTTACTTTGCCCAGATCCATCAGAAGAATCATTCTCAATGGCACCTTTGACCTTATCAGATATATTTCGTAAGTAATGAGATTTGAAAGTCAAAATTATTCATTTCATCCATGGGCTGCAGAATGGATGTTTTGTTATCAGGCATGAAAAATCTCATCATTCTCATTGTACATCTCCATCAGAGCTCTTGAGTGATCAGGTGCGTTGTCAGCACTAATTTTTTGAAAAGTCTTTTTTTCTAACCAGTAGGTGTTAACAGTGAACATAAAATATTCAGTAAACCCCAGATGTGCTGTCATCAGGCCTTGTTGTTCCATTTATAGAGCATAGGCATAATAGATTTAGTACAATTCTTAAGGGCCCTAGGATTTTGGAATGGTTATTGAGCACTGGCTTCAACTTAAAGTCACCAGCTGTGTTAGCCGGTGAATTAGTCTGTCCTTCAAAGCTTTGAAGCCAGACATTGACTTCTGCTCTCTAGCTGTGAAACACTTAGATGACATTCTCTTCTAATATAAAGCTGTTTCATCTACATTGAAAAGCTGTTGTTAAGTATAGCCGCCTCCATTAATGATCTTTGTTAGATCTACTGGGCAACCTCCTGCAGCTTCTACATCAACACTTGCTTCTCTTAGCACTTTTGTTACAGAATTAGGTTTTTTCCTTAAACCTCTTAAACCAATCTCTGTAGCTTCAAACTGTTCTTCTGCAGCATCCTCACTTCTCTAAGGCTTCATAGAATTTAAGAGTTAGGGCCTTGTTTGCATTCAGCTTTGGCTTAAGGGAGGAGTATGACTGATCTTTTATCCAGACCACAAACACTTTCTCTGTATCAGCAATAAGTCTGTTTTGCTTTCCTGTCATTAATGTTTTCACTGGAGTAACACTTTTAATTTCCTTTAAGAACTTTTCCTCTTGGGATGCCTGAATGGCTCAATAGTTGAACGTCTGCCTTCAGCTCAGGTCCTGATCCCAGGATCCAACATCTGGGAGCCTGCTTCTTCTCCCTCTGCCTGTGTCTTTGCCTCTTTCTCTTTGTGTCTCTCATGAATAAATAAATAAAATCTTTTTTTTTTTTAAAAAAAGAACTTTTCCTCTGCATTTACCACTTGGCTAAGTTTTTGGTGCAAAAGGCCTAGCTTTTGCCTTGTCTTGGCTCTTGACATGCCTTCTTAGGTTGTATCATTTCCAGCTTTTGATTTAAAGTGTAAGACATGCAACTCTTCCATTTACTCTAACACTTAGAAGCCATTGTAGGATTATTAATTGGCTTACTATCAATATTATTGTGTCTTAGAGAACAAAGAAGCCCTAGGAGAGGGAGAGATGGAAATAGCTGGTTGATGGAGCAGTCAGGATGAATATAACATTTATTGATTACGTTTGCCATCTTCTGTGATATGGTTAATAGCATCTACAAGGAATTAACAGCAGTAACAGCAAAGATCACTGACTACATATCACTATGACAAATATAGTAATAATGAGAAAGTTTGAAATACTGAGAGAATTATGAAAAGGAGACACAGAGACAGTGAGCAAATACTGTTGGAAGAATAGTGCTGGTAGACTTGCTTGATGCAGGGTTGCCATAATCCTTCAATTTGTAAAATATAGCAAACAAAACAAGTATAACAAAACAAGCCTATATTAAAACAGATAATTACAGTTTAGTTTTTAGAAATAATACTTATATGAGGATATCTTCATTTTAATGCCTCTTTTTGTTACTCTTTATTAGTCTTAATGTTGACCCTCAAACATCAGAACGGTAACTGGTAACTTAAGTTTTACTATTTCTCCTATGGTTTGCTAGTACCTTACTTAAATCAGAAGGTTCTCTTCTTATCAAGGATGTTCTGGCCCAAGTTTACTATGCCTTTTTTTAAAAAAATTGGGGGCATAGTATAATTAATTAATTGTGAAAGTGAACATGAAAGTTATTCTTAAAACCACCACCTACTTTTTGTCCTCAGAGATAACTGTAAGCAATTTAATTTATAGATATTAATCCTAATGCAGTGTATGCATTTACATACTACCTTTATGTGTAAATACATCTTTTTAAAAAAATAAATGGATCTTTATGTATGTAGTTTCTCCCTTTTTGATTTAATGCATTCTGTGCATCTTGGCTCTTTTAAGAGATCAACTTCTCTCTATTTACTTATTTAAAAGATAGATAGATTATTTATTTATTTATTTATTTATTTATTTATTTATTTATTTATTTATTTATTATGAGAGACACAGAGAGAGGCAGAGACATAGGCAGAGGGGGAAGTAGGCTCACTGCAGGGAGCCCGATGAGGGACTGGATCCCAG